AGAATGTGTCTTTTTGCGGCCAAAGCTCTGAAATTGTTTTAGTCAGATGTTTTTGATTCTGATAATGATAATGAAAATTTAGATTTTTCAGAAAGTGATTGAGACGGTGGATTTTCACCAGCGAAGTTGAGGGATCAGCTGTTCTGAATCTAGTGATTCTGATGAGTTTATTACACAGACAATCCTATTGCTACCGTATTTATGGTGTAAGAGAAAGAAAGTGCTCTAAACACAGAGATTGTACTAAACTATGGCTAAGCTACACTGAAATCATTGCAGTTACAGTCTGTATATAACTGTACAAAGTAAATAGTAAATAGTGTGTGTGTAATGACTCATTTTTCGGCCATTTTTCCTCTGAAATTTTGCTCAGAACTCTGAGAGAACTAAGAGCCACTGAGTGCTAAACTAACCCAGAAACTGATCATAACTTTGGAATTTGTTAGGAAATTGAACAAACTGAAGTTTTGTTTTCAAATTTGGATACTCAGTACTCTTGTGGTTGCAAAATCATGGTAAGTGAAGAATTTGTTTGTGAAATGTTGTTGAGTGAAATTAACACCTGCTGAATTCTTCTTTCCTACTAACTGTAAACAAATTAAACATTTACTTATCATCAGATTCAAAATGTACATTCATTTCTCTTTTAAAAAAAAAAAACCTTTTATTAGAATTAGAAGTATGTTACATTGTCTATTGCCTTTCTTGTACACCCACCCCTCTGCCATTTTTGTAAAGGGAAATTAATGTGGGCCAAGTCTGTCGAAATTCATGTCCCTGAAAGAGTTTAGAGATCTGTTGCTCACTACATTCTTAGATTTACCACTGTGGTGTGTTCATCAGTAAACCAGAGTGCCATATCCATCTGCATACAGGGCAGCCTTCCTCCTGTAGGGGTCTTTCACTAGGTCATTGATATAAACAAGAAAGAGAGTTGGAGAGATAACTCCTCTCTGTAGTACTCCTTGATGAAGCAACACTTTTCTGCTCTGCAGGCCATCAAGAGTGACTGACTCTAGTTCTCCTGTTGTGTAAGAAGGATTGAATCAATCTTAGCATGTTTCCTTGGATTCCAATTCTCTTCAGTTTTGCAATGAGATCATCTTTCCACACTTTGTCAAAAGCTTGTTTGAAGTCAACCCACACGACCAGGACCTTTTTCTTCCCTTTGAGGGCATCTTCTACAGCTTGTGACAGGTAGATGACTTGGTCTTCTATGCTGTAACATTCTCTAAATCAAGCTTGCTCTAACACCAAGATTTGCTTAGATTTTAAGTGTCATTTCAGTCTTGAATTTATAATTCTCCCCAATATCTTTCCTACACAGCTTCTGAGATTAATTAGTTGATAGCTTGAAGCCTGGGTCTTAATTTTTCCTTTTTTTTAAATATGGGTATTGTGATGGCTTCTTCCATATTGAGGCACCAATCCTTTCTCACAGCTGATGTTGAAAATCTCCAGCAGCTGAGCACAGATTGATCATCACTTCATTGCTGATTTCATCTGGACCTGCACACTTTTTAACTTAACTTGAAAATGACATTCTGAAGTTCACCCACAGTGAACGGCTCCATCATAGAGGCAGGAGTATCTGCTTGTCTCTTATTTGCTTGTATCTTTCCTTATTTCTCACTCTTGAGGTCCTTATTAAGGACGATCAGGTTGCTTTCAACACTATATGTTCTGGCAAATAAATCGGCAGCTTGTTTTCCTCTGAAGATTTTGTCACCATCACTCAGTGTGATTGTCTAGGAGAGAAACTCTCTTCATTGAGTTACTTGGCTAATCTCCAAAGTTTCTTGCCATCTTTATCAAGCTGCAGTTGTATTTCTCTAGCTTTTCCATTTTTCTTCAAGGTTAGTTCTTTGGAACACTGCAACAGCCTTATTCCATTAGGTGTGGTTGTCAGGTGAAGGTTGGGATTCTGCAGCATTCCTAGCTTGGTTCATTGTTTCCTGACATTCCTGGAGTGTGCTGGACCAGTAAGGTCTGTAGTTGTGTTGACAACCTTTGGGGATTGCTTCTTTTGCAGCTTCTTTTACAGTATTTTTTCCAGCTCCATCTTTTTTTGCTGTAGCCAGCCTACTTACTGTTGACCCCCTCTATATTATGACAAAATGCAATTTGGGATCTTTTCTGTCTGACTGGGTTTGGTTAGTAGCTCCACTGTCTCCTGACTCCACAGGAGGACCTAGGAGGTCTGCCAGTAGCTGGGGGTGGATTTTGTGGAGACTCAGAACCTGGCATTGCACCTGCCTGGTGGGCCTCCACATAGCGAGCACCATCATTAAATTCATCTGACAGTGTAATCATATATATAGCATTAAGTGCGTAGTACTGTGGTTTTTGATCCACCTTCTTGCCCAGTATTCCCGACTTCAGGATCTCTTGAGAGGGAGAGTGGGCTCATCCCTTCGCCTTTACCTCATTTGTTGTCCCATCCAGTTTCCCGCCAGGGGTTGAGACCCCAATCATCAGCTGGATTGCTGGGAAGAACAGTGTCCACCCTTGTCAAGGTGAGGTAAGTTAGAGCAAGAAAGGCTAATAGACATTAGGAGTCTTGTATTGCGCATCACTGCTCCATCTGGATCCCAGACTTAGGTCAAGTTTGAGAAACACATTCTTTTGTCAGCAACTAGATGTTCCCTGTGCTCATAGTTTACATGAACAGTATATTGAGGGTGGGGTCCTATGCTCCCCTGACTGCAATGTCATTACTATGTATTGCCACATGTGCAGGTATCCATACAACCAGCACTGAGCATCCTCTTGTGTTTAGATATATAGTAGGCAGAGCGATCACTTCTATTTAGTCTGGAGTGCTACCATTTTTTTTTTTTTGAGTTTTTTAAAGCCTGAACAACTGGTAGTGAGTCAGTTAAAACTGGGAGTTTTCTCAATTACCAGGCCTATTCAACTGGCGGCATGCAGGCTTAATCTGGCCCGTGGAGGCCTATCAAGTGGCCCATGGATAATTGCAGGTTGTATTGTGTTAATGATTTTTCTATGCTGGAGTTCTGGCCTCTTGCCCTTGATGATCCCCATTTTGAAAAGTGTGGCCTCTGAGTAAACTTAGTTGAATATACCTGTCATGTACCATTTCAAGAGCTTCGAGTACAGCAATCATTTTTGCAGTAAAGATTTGTAAATTATCAGATATGTTGTAGTTTGTTATTAAGTTTTCATTGTGGAATGTATAATCTTATTCCTAACTTGTCTTTTCCTTTAGACCCATTTGTGTAAATGGGAAAGTTATCCTTTATTAGATGTTGTATGTATTCCATAGCCATATCTTTTATCAACTCAGGATATGATTCGTTATTGATGAAACCAGCGAGCTAGTAATTTATCTGAGATACTGAAGTGCCATGCAAGGAGATTAGAACTATTAAAGAGTGAATGAAGCCGAACCCCACTAAGACCACACGCACACTAGCAGGTAATACCTGACGACACAAAGGGCAAAGTGTCACTGTTAGGATGAGAATCCCCCAGGTGCAAATCCCAAAAGGCCTGTTCAACCCTACGGTTATACTGTAGCCCTAGATGGTTACAAAGTAACCCAAAGTCCAGACAGGGTAGGGCGATTATGGGCACCCCTTACAACAGCGACCCTAGGGGACACAATCTATTGTAGGTTAACAGAACTGTAAGTGCAGACCATAGGGGACGTAATCCAGTGTTTGTGTGACTGACTGTTTTTAGCCCAAAAGGACTACACAACGAGCAACCACACCCAGTAACACAAGTCCCAAAAAAAACTCTATTCAACAATTAGGATATACTAGGGCCCCTAACAACAGCTTGGGTGGGGCTTTATAATAACAAAAAATTGTGTCACACATCGGAGATAAAGTGTTTGTGTGATTTCATATACTAATACTTCTTTCTTTTGTCAAAATCTGCTTGTGCCGCTAGGCGTCGCAGTCTATCAGATGGTCGGCAACCGAGCCAGGGCGCGCTCAGTCGCTTCATATGCCGTGATGTTAAGAAGTCTCAAGTTGTCCGTGACTCCTTTAATCCATCTTCTTCTCGGTCTTCCCTGCCTCTTGGTGTTTCGATTTTCATGTTGTATGCTCTTGATGCTGGCATCGTTGGTTCCATTCTCATTAGGTGACCAAACCATTTCATTCTTTGCTTCTCAATAAATTTAACGATGGGTATGGTTCCAATAGTTCTTGTAATCACATCGTTTCTCACTCGATCTCTTCTGATATATAATCCACAGCATTAACCCTTACCCTAATGTGAGGCAATGATAAATAGTGGAGAACATTATTATGTGAACATAGACAAAAAATGGACTGTCTCCCTCATGGTCGCCATAAACAACCACTGATTTTGTCCACTAGGGTCACCGTTGCAAGGAATGCCAATTGTGAATACTGTAAGGGTTATTAATTTTATAATTATTGAAGAGGTCATTCGCGGATGTAGAATTACTCAGATCTGTTATGAATTTGTGTTGTGTTACCTTAGTGCTCCCTGTAACTTAACATGCAAACGAGAATGACCTGTACAAACCTATAAATCCTCAGCTATTTGAAAGATTCAACCATACATGACCACTCTCTCAGAGTTATTGTGTTTATTCAGTCCCCTTGTGGGATGCTATTTTTCGTTATTTGAAGCCCCACCCTGGCTTTTGCCGCGGGGAGGGGGGGGGGGGCTAAATACAGCGGGGCCACAATTGTGGCCATAACGGCTGAAATGGTTTCTGGGACCTCTCCACGGGTGATCCTCATCACCCCTTTGTGTCACCGGGTGTTTATCGCTTGTGTGATGTTCTAGTGGGGTAAAACAAGCAAGCAAGCTCTCGGAGTTTACACAAGAATATGCTGTATATTAAATATATGTGCATACCACACAGACAAACGCTACAGCCTACAGAGCAAACAACATTCAACATGACAATTATTACAGACGGGGCGGAGGTGCATGTTATTATTTGAAATACTTTTTAACTATGGACTTCACTGTAAATGCCAAAATATACTTACTTTCCAATGTATGTGGACGGTCTCCCAAGCCAAAATTAATTGACTTATAACCTGCGAACAAGCCAAATGAGATATTAGCGCTCTGTGATTTGTTCGTTTCGTTGCGAAAACCAGGAGTAGAAGAAATCCAGTGATTTGTAGCAAGCGACGACACTATGAGGCCGACACCAACACAGGCGACAAAAACGGACACGCCTATAATTCTTTTTTGCGTCTGCATGACTGTCGTCACTTAGATATGTGTCTGTCGATTTATGAACCAGAAGAATGTTTTAATCCAGAAGTTACATCATATTTACAAATCTTCCACTGTGTCCGGTTGGTAAACGGCACTCATTCTCTGCAACCTACCTGGCTGAAGTCAAGGCACAGGGAAGTGACAAAGCTTATCAGTGCTGCATTGTGAGTCCAAGGACCGCCCAAAAAAGTAGAAGGACGAAAATAGCAATACTTAATACGTACACGTGTTAACTTCACACTCGAGTCGACTGGTTTTATATTTAAAACTAGCTGTACCCGGCTACGCGTTGCGGTGACGCTGTCCGCTTAATGGGGGGAAAAAATCTGCGAAGAACTTTCGGCATTCAGCTGAAGGCAGATTTCTGAGGTCAACTCGCTGGTGAGACACACATCAGAGGTCTAGAGTTGGGAGGAAAGCGACTGAAGACTGGACAGACGTACTCTGACAAATAGAATTTTGTTTAGTTTATTTAGAGACATAGTGACAGATAGCTTTTTTAGAACTTATCGCCAGGTAGGTCAAAGTATAGAGAAGAGACAAAGAAAGACACCCTGGTCATACATGTTTGGGGTTCAATGGTGATACTGACTGGCATCTTCACCTCTCAGATATCTAAACCTCGAAATCATATAGATTTTAACTGACAGCGACTTGAGGTTTGATAGACTGAAATTGTTGGGGTACATGTGTGTTGTTCGACCGTCACAGGTGATGAAGACAAATAACTGATTCCAACCCTAATAATAATCAAATTAAAAACAATAATGATCAATAACTATGAGTATGAAAACGACTGATCTGCCCAGTTCCTGAGCACTGGAGACAACAGGTGGAAGCAACAGCCGAGGTGGGACTTACCACAGGTTCCTACCAGCCTGCCCCTGCCTCTCCTCCAGTGCAATCTCTGCTGCCCGGCAGGCTGATGCACCACTCCCCAGGACTGCAGGCTCCCCCTGTTTTGGTCTAGGCAACAGCTTCCACCTCCCCCCCCCCCAAACCCATCCCAAGCCTCGGTCCTGATGCCAAATGATCAAAGAGCCGCTTCAAGAGTGTTCCCTGTAGCATTTTCACCATCTGACCAGGATCCTGGTGGAATTTGCCATAAAACACACCCTGGAAGCCGAGGGTCTGGCATAGGGGGTGAGGCAACCAGCCCAGCAGATCCAACATCTCTTCTGCAGTGTGTGGGTGCCCAGCAAATTTGCCCCAACATGGGGCATAAAGAGAGAATGGCAGATAATAGAGAGATCAAATCTGCATAAACAAGAGTCAGACAGTAGTAGGCCACGACAGATCAAAACGACAATTGATCGATAATATAGTCAGACTTATACATATTTAGTCACTTAGTGGAAAGAAAAGGTCAATCACTGAGGTTAACGCAGATGAGCGATATCTACAGCAATGAACCTCGAGGTGATGAAGAATAAGAAGAAGACGTATTGTTAACACACTTACGTGACAAGAGGGTATTCAGGGTTCAATAACCAGCATTAGCTTGGCTTTGGGATTGGCCAGCCTTGTGAAAGAGGTACATGATAGATATTTTAAGTTTCCTAAAAACTGAGTGTGAAGAAAATATGACGAAGAAGGGAATTGGCCATGCCACTTTTTATACCGTGAATACGTGCTAAGCCAAGATGTCTCCCTTCATATATCATCTCGTCATGATTCTCTGATGTCGATGTGAAGTATAAACGTGTCCGTTTGTGTGCCTGGTCAGCCTCCGCTTCGCCTCCTGCCTGGGCTGTACATCATTGCTTGCTGTGGTATACTGTTTGCATCTGCGTTACCATTTCACTCGCTTTTTTCTAATAAACTTCCATAGCTACAAATATCCCTATTTTCCTCTGTATTTCATCATTTATGATGTTATCTCTCTTATCTTATGAGACCTTCGTAGGAATCGCATTCAGTTAAAATGTGTTTTTCTCCTGTTATATCATTGTCCAGGTCTGGCATTGACAGCACAGGGTTGACAAAAATTGTGTCATAGAGTACTGACACATGTTTGTTTCCCAGCACTGATGCTATTTGTCCGATGAGTTGGTTTGGTCTGTTAAATCTGTCATCGATCTCGTCTTCTTCTTTGCCAGGTGATAATATTTTACTACCCAAGTATGTGACATTATTGGTTTGTTTTGAAAGGTATTCTATAAGCTGGATTTTATGTTTTTGATACTTTGGCAATGGTCATGACCTCTGTTTTGATGGCGTGTGAATTTTCATGTTACTGTCACAGGCCAAAGAGGCCACAGCAACAGCTTTTAGTTTTAGACAGAAAAGCGGAAAAGTATGGCCACTGGGTATAAAAAGGCCAACTAGTTAGTCTAGTTAGTTCAGGTAATTATAGTAGTTCACAGTTTTAAGTTGGTTTTTGAATGGCGCCTACGTGCTCTTTTTATTCAGACTTCGAATATATGTGTGTTACATATTTTAATTAATTGCGCCCACGTGTGCGGTTTCGAAATCGAAGACTTGGCGTGTGCTTAGTTAGATATTACATGATCTTGTTCACGGATGAGTAGCGTTGGGGAGTGGTTTAATTTGACAAGTCTAGTCGGCTCAGATTATCATGTTGATTCACATTTGGTTTAGAACTTGGGTAGTAGCCGACTGTGTAGTTAATTTTGTTTGATTATATGTTACTTAACAGTTTTCTTTCACTAACAGTGGTCGGTGTCTATTATTGACTAGGAGTGGTCTGTGTCTATTGTCGACTAGGAGTATTTTTTTTTTTTTTTATTGTCCATGGAGTGGCTTGTTTACGCCTCGATCTGAACTTGGGGTCAGTTTATAGTGTATATTGTTTCTGTGTCAAGGTTTACCTGTAGGTCTGTTTATATATTATGGAGCCTTGTGTGAAGCACACTGACCGAGCCGGTTACGCAATGAAGTTTATTAACATTGCTGTTATCAGTCGATACATGGTAGGCTTCAGCCAAGGTAATGTCCCTCGAATTTCACTGTAAGCTTTCCCAAAGCCGAGGTAATTGTGGTGGAAATGTCACTCGGAGGCCAAGCAGTGTTGGCAGTGACGAAAAGATTGTCTCTCGATGGCCGAGCGGCCGGCACATTGCCAAAAGTAGTGACGTGTCTCTCGATAACCAGGCGGCCGAGACAAGAGTGTGATAGGTCTCTCGATGGCCTTGCGGCCGAGACAATGTTAATCTATAGGCCTTCAGTGACCGAAAATGTCAGTTTGTAGACTGAAGCCGAGGTAATGTCTGATATGTCTCTCGATGGTCATGCGGATGAGACAAGTGAATCTATTGTAGGCTTCCCCGAAACTGAGGTAAAAGTTGTGGAAAGTCCTTCAAATGCCTCGCGGTGGTGGTAAAGGCAAACGTCTTCTTAATGTCACGTGGTGGTGGCAAAGGCAAACGTCTTATTTTTGCCACGCGGTGGTGGCAAAGAGTGGTGAAAGCAGTCTAATGTAAGCCCGCGGCTGAGGTAATAAACAGCTGAGAGAACTTACTCATAAAGAATCACTGGACGTCGGAGAGGAAATCCAACTGATCAAGAATCCTGATGTTTGCTGATTACTATGTTTTTTTTTTTTTTAGTTCCATGTTTCTTTCTTTTGAGGTTTTGCTTGGTGTGTGTCAGTGATGATTTGATATGTTTTTAAATGCATTTTTCTATCAAGGAGCGGATTAGATGGGGTTTTAATATACTATGTTGGTGTCTCAGACACCAGCGCATATGCTAACATGTTCCGATGATATTGCCATCAGTGATGTAGATCGGGGGTTTGTAGTAATTTAAAGACTAGCTGAAACTTGAACGCAAATGTTCACTGGATGTTTCATGACTACTGCCATCTTTAATGTAATTTCTTATTTGGGACTTATACGTTCCTTATCCAGTTTCCGTGGAACGAGTTATGCTTTGCTCGTATGTCAATGATAGTTATTTTTGGGTGAATGTTAATGAATGATACTGCAAGTAACTAGTGACTACATGATGTTAGGAGGATAATTTTATTCCAGATGGCTATGGCCAGTAACTCTGTGGGATGTAGAAAAGGGGTTAGAGGAGAATTTGTAGACAATAATTGTTATCTATTGTGTAGTTGCCGGGACGTCAACACAAATAATGGGCTGATATGTCAAAAGCCAAAGAGGCCACATGAATAGCTTTTAGTTTTAGACAGTAAAATGATAGAAATTATCGGCACTGGGTATAAAAAGGCCAACAGACTCAGTATTTGCTTCCTTTTTAGCGGTCGCTCTGTGGTCTGGTCGCTACGGTCGGGCGCCTGTCTGCTATTGTTTGACTGTATATAGTCTCAACGCACAGGTGTGTTAGATCGGAGCGGCCGAGCGACGCTAGACTGGCTCGTGTTCGTGATGATGGTACGTTTCCATAGTTAAATCTAAAATTTCTCCAGCGGTGTTGGATTTGAATTATATTTTGAATTCTCGCTAGGAGATAGTTTGAGGGCACGTCGCTATAAGTAATTTGTTGGGATATTGAAGCTTAACGAAATGTTAAATATGTTTCGGTTTTTGCCATTGTTAAGGTAATCTCGCTGAGCGTATGGTGTCATTATGATATTTACTTGTTAGCTGATGATCGCTTTAGATTCTGGTCGAGCACGTTGGTTGTTGTTAATGTTTTTGTGTGGACCACGCTGATGTTATGTTAAGTAAAATAAACAGCTGTTAAATGTGATTATAATTCATTTGCAGGATTTAATTTAGGATCTGTAGTCCGTGGTTCGTCTAGGTGTATGTACCCATGTAGTTAGGTCGTCGTCGTGTAACTCACGATACAGATATTCATTGTTTCGGTCTAAGTGAAATATTATAGGATCTCAAGAAGCTTTGGGTCTTCTTCTCCTTGGTGTATTAATGTGTGTATTAATGTTTTTTTTTTTTTTTTTACAGATGTTAAAAATGTAAGTTATGTGTGTCCTTTAATGTCAATACCTGTCATAGAACTGCATTGACTTTGGTATATATTTAGCAGGTTAG